GATAAATGTGCAGCTTTTTGTCCTCAGTTGTATTTCACAAAATTAATTTGAAATCATGGGTTTCTTATACTGAAGTGAAACTTTTAGCAATTAAAATGTCAGAATCATTAAGATGCCTGTGTAGGGCTGTTGAGTGTTTGTCTTAATTCTTCTATGACATAAAAATGTACATGCATTATGATCTTGCTTTGTTGCATTTCAGCTATGGGGTGTGAGCTGAAGTCAGTAATAGTATTTGTCCATTCATTAGACTCTTAGCTGGGTCTAAGGAAAATTGTTTAATTTACAAGTGCTAAGTACCCTAAATCCTAGCCAGCATTGTTATGTTACGAAATATTTGTTTTCCTGTAGGAGTTTATACAAAGAATAGAAACTTCCGGATGTATAAATCATCAAAAGCAGGAAAAAATGTGATTCTGAAGATAGCAGAGGATAATAAGTTTATCCCTAGCTGTGAAAAGGATGTTTCCTTGGAAGAAGCATATTTTCTTTCCTCCTTAATCTGCAACATTAGGTAATTATTTAATTCCAGTGGAATTTACAATATTTTTAAATACGTATTTTAATGATAATTCTCCCTCAGCAGTTACAAAAAGCTACTTCCAATGAGCAGTTATTCCATTAACATTCTTACAGTGTAATTTTGGAGTTCCTACTAGAATTTCTTGTTTTTGAAGAAAAAACAAGAACAAAACTCTTGAGAGTCTTGGTTTTTGGTTTGCTTTTTTTTTTGAACCTACCTCCAAGTGTTTAAAGGACACAGAACACGTGGTACAGCTCCTGAGTTGTGCCTCATTTCTCTGTACGCACTCAAAATGCCAAAACTTAACCATTATTAAGTTTGGTCAGATTCTGTATCTGAAAACAAAAATTACAGATTTCCAGTCAGTTAAATATGAAGAGTCTGAATATTTTCCAAAGTAGGATAAGAAATATCCTGTACGTGTTTACTTGCATACCAGATTCCCCATTTGGTACAAATACCTCCTTACGTTGGGTACTCGTATGTACAATAACCAAGTTTTCTGTAGCTAATCCAAACTTCTGATATATCATACACTGTACTAAGAAGATCCTAATCATTGCTGCAGCAGAAAGAGGGTTAAAATGGTGTAATATTTTTATTCAAAACATGGATTTGTTCTGACTTCAGGTTTTATATCCTGAAATATTCATTATCCTGAACTGATGCCAGCAACCCCGTAGCATAAATCATGTAGTGTATTCGGATCATAGGCATCAGCTGAGTCTGTCATAAATATGGCTGAGAAATTCTGCTGTGTTGAATTTAGACTTCTTTGATCATCTGGCTTCAGCTAGCAACATGGCAAAAAAACTAGTTCATTTTAAAGAGACAAAAAAAATTGAAACCTTTCAAAGGGTATATTTACATAAATACGCTGTAGGAGTGTGGACCAGCAGTCGTTAAATGGCTGGGTCCTGGGACTTCCACCAGGAACCAAATGTTGCTGCTGAGGAGGAGGAACCCCTGCCCTTGGTGCCAGTCAGGGAAACTGCCAAAGTGAGGAGAGTGCTCCAGGGACAGGGAATGGTGCACACTGAATCATGGGCTGGTTGAGGTTGGCAGGGACCTCTGGAGGTCTCCTGGCCACCCCCTTGTTCCAGCTGGGCTCCCTGGAGCCAGTGGCCCAGGGCTTTGTCATGTTATGTTATGCCATACTGTGGTAATTTATATGCTACTGTGTTATGCTGTAAGAAACACACATTTTCCTTTGTATTCTTTTCTTTCTTCAGAGTGAGTGATGACACAAAAGTTCTGTCATCTGGCTTTTCAGATGAGGAGAGAAAAATGTCTGCTTTTTTAAACAGTAAAACAACCAGAAGCAGCCAAGGTACCCCAAGCCTTATCTCCTGTATAGAAAAAAAAGTTCTCTTTAATTAGATGTACTGTGACTTGTACACCTGATAACCTCTAGGAGGGCTCTTCTTCAGCTACCCTTCTGCAGGAGGCAGAGTACATCTGTACTGAAGGATGCTCTGCAGCCCCTGACTGCCATTTACCTTCTCCTCTTGAGGGTGGGAGTAGCAGTTTAAAGATCTACAAGAAAGTAACATTGGATTTATCCCTGGTTTCACATTTGAGGGTGTGATGTGATTCATGTCCATTTTCTGTCTATATGTGTAATGTGTGATAATTACATGTTGCCATGGCAAAGCCACTAACAGTATGTATATGTGGCCTTTGTTTTAACAGATTCCATGGAAGGCTATCAGGGTTCACCATATCCAGAAATTGATAATTTTGTTCATTCTTTGGTTAATAAAGATGGGCTACAAGGAGGTAAAGAGACCACTTGATTATTCACAAATGAGTGTTCTGCATCCCTAGTTTTAAATAATTTAAAGAATTAATTTTTTTTCCCTCAGGGATACGGCAGTGGAATTACTTCTCTCTCAAAGAAATACTTGTATATGATATTTCTGGTTACCGCTGGTGTGAAAATATTGGAAGAGCTCACAAAAGTAACAACATAATGTGTGTTTTTTATTCAGTTTTAAACAGCTTTTTCTTATTCTCCTGCTCAACTGTTATTCTCTAAAAATGCTGAAAAATCTCTTATGGATAGAATTAGCACCTATTACAATTTCTGTTGTCTTGCTCTATGAGGATACAATGCTTCAATTAAAAAAAAAAAACACCAAACCCAAAAAAACCCAGACAAAACCAAACTTTTTCCCTCAAGTTTACTTTGTGATAACCAGGCTTGTATTTCTAACAGTTCTACAAAGTAGGTATTCATGATATTTAAAATATGTGCCTAAAGATGCTAACATAAAAGTCAGAATATGTTAAAGCTATTAAGCAGTACTATGCATTTATACTTTACAGCTAGGAAGCTGAAAAATCACAAAAAGAAAGCAGACCACTTTTAAATTAATTTACAGTGCACCTTAAATGATGTTATTATGTTATTAAAATGACTTTGTCATTTTAATAATTGAGAATTACCATTTTAGAAGGGTAATTCCTGCTGCCGCTTTAGTCAAGATGGGTTTTGCCAGTGACTCTGGAAGGAGTTGGACTTTGTGTAGTTTTAGCAAAATAAGTGATGGAAAATCAGGTTTTTTAGATTACATTAGAATTCCAGTATATCATTAGTAGAAATATTTTAACTTAAAAATAACTCTGTGTAACATTTAAAGTCACTGAAACATAAGGAGTAGGGTTTTGAGAAACAAGGATGCTCAAAAAAACCTACAGCCACTACACTAGATGGTGTTTCCCAAGCACATTGCTTGAAGTTTGGTGTTTGTAAAGCACAGCTGAAAAAGCTGGGTGATCTAATCAGTTGACAGGAAATAGTGATTTTATGTGGCTTTTATAGTGAAATTATCTGTAACAGCAGCAGCAACAAAATCTTATCTTACAGTTAAATCCCATATGCTAACCTTATTTTAATGACTGTCTTCCAAGCTTAATGTAATGAAGTTAACTAAATTTCACTTCCAGATGTTAGTCTAAAAAATTTATTTCTTTTAACTTATGAAGCTAGAAGTTTATCAGAAATTGTACAAAACATGTAATTAGTATGTCAGAGTATGAAAGCAATGTCCATAGTTGAGGATAAACAACACCTGTTCATTTAGTGTCAGAGTTTCCTACTGTATGAATTCATTTCATTTATTTACTGTTACTGAAAAAAACTAAATGATTTCATTCTTAGGATTCTGGTAGATCTGAAGAACGAAGTCTGGTATCAAAAGTGTCATGATCCTGTCTGCAGAGAACAAAACTTCAAATCACAAAGTATGTAGTCTGTGATCTCAAAGCAATTATACTTAATACTTTTTTGAATGTTAATTTTAATGCCATATATTTGATTTAGGTTTTCCATTACCACCTGGGATATGTCTCCCGTCTCTTTTCCAAGAGGTATGTTTTTGTCCTATCGATATGCTAAGGTTCTTGTGAGCCATTGTTGTCTCTGGAAATCACTGAACATGCCCACTGACAGAGTCTGTTGAGCTCCATGCACTAGTTACAGTGGTATAGAAGAGGTTCTGGTAGCACCATATACTCATTTTTAAGTTACTGGAATCACCTAACTTCACTTGGGACTAAAGACTTCCTTCTGTTTTGATCTGAACAGCAGTTCCCAGTGCATAAGCCACAGGGACACTGCAGGGTCAAGTAGAATGGAAAAACTGCCCGAGTTTGATTTCATGCTGGGCAAGCCAAAATGGAGCTGCTCCTGGAACACTTGTCAATCAGAGTCAAATGTAGGTCAGTGACCCTCATATTTGAAGTTCATTTATCTCCATTTTAGTGTATCAACACAGTTACCTTTCCCCTAAACTGGTAGAATATTTAAGCCAACCTAATACTGCACCTAGATTCTAAGGCCTGAACATACTAGTTTTTCCACTGCTTAGGCAATAAGAGTTGGCATTTTTGCAACTTTTAAATTTAACTTGACAGCTTTAAAGGTCATACTGCAGCATGGCACGTTAAGCTCTACTTAAGCTGAGCATCAACAGCTATTAGTACTATTTCATAGGAAGTGCAATTTATGTGCACTTTCAGATCCTGACAGTATCTTTAAACGGACCTTAAAATCAGTTTTAACCTTGCATTACTTTAAGAAGCTGTATACAACAGACTGCTTGTAGGTTGCTAGAAAAAAAGCAAATTTCTACTCCTATTGAAATAGACTTCCAGAGGTTAACATGGTTATAAATTAACATTCTGGAAAATCTGTCTTGCTGGCCAGCTTTCTGTAGTATCCATTATGTGTGACAGTACAAGTTTCAGACTTGCAGAGCAGTTAAAGGTATGAAGACCATTTTCATATGGAGTAAGTAGTACTCTTGTTTCTCAAAGGAAGAAGAGTATACACCAATGGATGAAAGGGGGAACACAGAAGAAAAGGTGAAACCACATTTTAATGCATCAGACTTGTCAGAAAGCTCAGGATCTCTGGCAAACAGCTTGTCTCAAGACTTCTTGTTGTCAGACAGTGAGTGGGAAAGTGCAAGCGACGATGCCTGTTTCCTGGAAGCTGCCGAAGATGTGGAACTCGCTGAAGCCGCAAATGATAGTCTGAATTATGCCATGGAAGAAATCCCGGATGAAGCTCTTTTGGAAGCTTTAAGGAAAGAAGATTCTTGCAATAAAGAAGGCAGCTAACCACTGGCTTGGCCAGCACACAGACTGCCAGCAGTGACACCTGCATGCTTTGTGCCTCTGGAAAGATACTGCGATGTAGTTCAAAAGCACTATTCCAGAGGTGTAGGACAAAGAGCAGATTAGCTGGATGATCTTGAACAGGCAGGAGGAGATCATGGAAGATTACGTCGAGTCTGAAGAGTGCTGGACTGAAACGCTCATCATGAATGCTGCTCCAAGCTTAGCACTTTTAATGCTCTCTGCTGTACAGTTTCTATTTTGCTAGTTTTATGTCCAAGTTTTATTGATAAACCAAGTTAAGCAGACTTCTTTAGTTCCAGAAATGGGATGAAATTATTTATTTAAAATACAAATTTAATAAAAAGATATCTGTGAATAGTTCAGCCAAAGTCTGTGTTCTCTTTAAAAGTGTATGTTGCTGTCAAGATCACATTACTTTAATAGCACAAGATTAAAACCCAACATTGTTCACAAGCACAGAAAAGTTTTATTACTTTAAGTGGGATTGCTATTTCAGTCATTTCACTGACACTGAGACTATTTGACAATAGAAAGATACATCTCGACAAGTCATTGACTTTTTAACATTGAAACAAAATAGAGCAACAGTGACTAATCACGCTTTAAACACTACCATTCTAATAACTGTTTTTAACAAATGTTAAAAAGTCTTAAAAAACACTTAGTCTTTCTTTGATAACCTCTCTCTTTGTACAGCCAGAGCCTCTTCCAGTTTCAAATTAATATTCTGAAAGTGTCTTTCTGCTCCTAGAATTCTCCGTGACTCCATCAGAAGAGCAGGGAGGCTGGAAGTTCCATACTGTTGATATGGAAATAAAATTACAAGGCAACATTTTTAACTCTTGGAAAGATCACTTACATGTCTGTAGTTATTTTTCCTATATCTGGAAAATGGCACAACATGATTTTTAAAAGTGAAGAACGGCCAAGATTAATAAGAGTGTCTTATGAAATGCGAGGATTTCCCTTACACATGGCAGGCATGTACCTTTGTCAACAGAAAATACCACACCAGGTCCTGGGTAAAACGGGAAGGAGTTCTAAGGCTACATGAGAAGTTACTCTGGCCATGTAATAAAAGCACTGTTCTTAGCATTAAATACCTTACAGAACAGACATGGAAATACCAGAGCTTTTCCTTTCTTTGAACAATAACAACAAAAGAAATTAATTACTTGTTTCTCAGTGTTAATATTTCTTCAATTTCTATTAAAAAGTTACAACTGAGAACAACTGTTAGGCTTTTATGTCCTTTCAACTCCTGGACATAGAGAGCAAGGCAGCGGAATCCTGTCTGAAATACTTCAGCTTTTAACATGAGACCAAAAAGAGTGAGATACTACAGTGCAGTTACAGCAGTGATTCTCAAGTTGCTTCCACAAAGACAATTAACAAAATATTGCTATTTAATATAACTTAAACATTAATACAAGTGCTCAGCAGTCCAGGAAAGAAAAAATGGGGAGGAGAGTTGTGACCCAGAACTGTTCAGAAATACATGCAAAATTTGTACTTACTACCACTTTTTCTTTTGGGTTTTCTTCTCTATAATCCAAACAGTCTTGTTGTAGCTCCTTTAAATCAGTAAGTAATTCAATTGTTTGCCTCAAGGAAGATTTCCTTTCCTTTATCTCAGCATATTCTCTTTCTAGTTGTGTCAGTTGTGGTTCAGCTCTGAAAAAACGTCAAGGCTTTGATGTTTGTATCTGCATGTTTATTGCATGAGTAACTATGAACATATTTCCTCTAAAGAAGACTTGAAGGAAAGGTTGCTCAGAAACATAAAACATAGGTTAGTATAGCATACTGTTTAATTAGAACAACTAGCATATTACTTAAATAGGAGCATGAGTCCAAATCCACCAAAAAACCCCAAACCTCTCTTTCTCAAAGAGAAACTCTTTTGAGAACTCTTTTTTAATTCTCAAAAAGAACAGTTCTTTTGTCAGACTCTAAATTGTCTTTTGAGTCTGACAATGTAGCTCCTCTCTCTTAAGCATTTAAGTTCCCCAAATATAGTTTCTTTAGGTGTTCTCCTTCTGCACACGCCTGTCTGCAGGCTGAGGTGTCAAGTGCTTATGCTGAAGCATACTCAGGATCTACAAACTACCTACACCTCTGCCTAAGTAAACTGGAGGGCTCAAACCATTACAATAGCACTCCAAAAACCGAACACCAACAGCCATTTTCATTCAACAGAAAAAAAGCTTTCTCAAAATGACCAAAGGATTACAACAGAACACATAAAAAATGCGAAGACAGCTTTCAGTCTGTGAGGAGGTTCAAACCATATAGAGGGATTAGTTCTTTGAGCATAATTTGTCCATAGTACTGCAAAGTTACACAAGCTCTCATGGCCACAGAGAAAAGGCTTTTACACTGTTCTTGTCGATCCAAGGCCCTGGTTCCCTACAGAGTTAACTTATGGAGTGACGTTTTACACAGCTTCAGTATAAAACTTGTCACTAGCAACCAATGGGATGTGGGGAAGCCTAATGGTTCTTCCAAATAACATGATTTCTATGTTGTTTATCTAAATGACTCTTAAGATTAATGCCAAGTTAGAGATGGGGAATTGCATAGCCACGTGAGATGAAAAAGAAATCAGGTACTGAGAGGAACGCTTGTCAAATTGCAGAGGTGAAATACAATCTCCCACCTCAAAACCAAAAAAGTCCTATGTATTACCTTTGTAAATTTATGATACAGCACCTTTGCAATTCAAATTGTAACATTAGTATTTTTCTTACGAACACATGGTGTGAAACACCATCCTAGTAACTATTTAGCTAAGAGAACTTGCAAGAATGACTATCTAGGCAACTGATATATGTAAAGGAGAGGTCATCACAAGCTTTTGTAAAAACAGAAAGCAAGACAACAAATTAAATGAAAAAAAAAACAAAAAAAGTTACTTTCCCTTCTGAGCTACAAAATACAGATTCTTTAAGCTCTTCAGGCTATTATTGTGCATCATTAGAAACATACCCAATTAGCTCTTCTCTGAGTTGCACCAGTCGCTGCCTTTTCTTTTTGATGTTTGTTACTGCCTGAAACAAATAGCGAGCAAAGTCTCTGAAACAGTTTCTGCAATTTCAAAGGCAAACAACTCATATTTGATTGGCTTTTTTTCTCTGGGATTTTATGCTTCTGATTCTCGTGGAACATTCCAAGATATCAGACCTTATAAACTGCCATATTTTACATTTGTATTTTAAACACTTCAAAGCTATTTAAAATGACAAACTTTTATCTCCATCCAAAATTTCTCCTAAGGAACACTCAATTTACAAGCATACAAAAGGAGTTTGTGACATTTTGAACATGAACATGACCAACTCTAGGAGTTGACGCTAGGTCAAAATGAAAACTAACATGAAGCTATGCTCAGTATGATTGCCATAACTAAGCTTTCTTTAATATAACATCCAATTTAAAAAAAAAAAAGCAACACCCAAAACTGATCCTAAAATTAAATTTAGCAACTAAAAATCTGATTTTAAACTAATGTATACGAGTCAAAGTAAGGAGAAATGTGAGTGTCTGTGAATTCTATATGTGTATTATTTTACATGCTGAGTAGCTTGCCATATCACCTCAAATCAACAAGACTTTAGCATATTAATTGCTACATCCCAGAATAAGCCTCATGTTGACCTTATTTGTTGAAAGCTATTTTGTCCTTGAAAAGTTTGCAGAAGATGTTAATCTGGGCAGAAAGCCAGACAGTGCCTATGCTTCTCTTAAATCTCTCTGCTCTAGGGCATTCACCTCTCCCTGATAAAACCACTGCAACGTTTTTCTGCTCTTACACTAGTTCCTCCTCCTGTCAACATTCCCCAACTGCATTTTCAGTAAATTACTACTCACTCTGAATGAACAGAACTGCCTTCTTCTGAACAAAAATTCTGCATATATTTAGGGAATGCACTTCCCATAGACTTCTTTAAACTAAGAAATCCAATTCTATCCTCACAGGTCACCATCTTTGCTGCTCTCATAGATTTTTATATTCATTTGTGTGTCTTGAAGGTTAGCACTCAATATTTAATTAGCTCTCCAGAGGCCTCACAAGTACTCATTAAAAAAAAACAAAACACCTAACTCCAAAAAACCAGAAGAGTACTTCACATGCATAGACACCTACACATCCTAATGTGCATTCCTTCTTTTTACTCCCTATAGCAGTATATGTATGGAGTTTGCATTCCATCATATTTACTCAGATCTTTTCCAAAAATACTCTGGTGGTTCCCTATCCCCTATTTGTGCAGTTGATTCTGTAGTACAGTACACCTTTTTGTCAATTATTTTATTTCTTCCAGTCAGCTTCTTGAAATGTCAATGCCCACTACTGTATGCCATACAATCTAGTGATATATATGTATTACCTTAGCATTTTTCCTCTTCATATTCTTTAATTCCTGGACTCCTGCTATCTACAGAGGAAAAGAAGAATTACAGATTGACTATGGATCTTGAATTCATCACTATCCTCCTAAAATCATGGCTGCAAGAATTCCTTGGGAATAACAAAAAAAGCTATTTAAAAAACCAACACTGTTTCAAAGTGAGATTACAAGTGCATCACTTGTGTATAGAGTCTTTCCTCTCTCCTCATGCCGGAGAAAGACTGTTGCACAAAATTAGTTAGTGCAAGTAATACTCCTTGTACCAATTACTGTAATACTACTTAGCTTAAGTTTTCTATAACTTTATATATATAGGTATAAATCTAGTCTTTTTAAAACGTATTCCTTCTCATGAAACACTTAGAACTATAGTTTTAGTACCTATCCATTGTACTTATCACAAGTCCTACAAAGTTCTGAGTTCATTTCACTCCTTACAATTAGTGAGAAGAAATCTTAGTCTTCCTAACCAATAAGCTTGTTACAGAATCCCAGAATGGGTCAGGCTGGAAGGGATCACAGTGGGTCATCTGGTCCAGCCTCCCTGCTCAAGCAGGGTCATCCTAGAGCACATGGCACAGGACTGTGTCCAGATGGCTCCTGAATATCTTACAGTTATGTTCAAACTGCTAATTAAAAAAGGATGATTTTCCCTGGGCTATGTTAGAGGCCTTACTCAGGCCTCTAAACAAGAGTCACTGAGACGCAGTATAAAAATTAAATCATTGGCCTTTTAAAACTCTAGTCCATGAGGTTTTAAAACAGTGTTTGACACAGCTGTTATGCTCATTCAAATTATGCAGCCCTCCAGTTTTCCTACATAATGATTTAGATACGACAAACACTTCAGGATTATTAAATGCTTCCCTATTCTCAAAAGCTGACAATTTTGCCAAGTACCTGCATGACAGTAGTGCTGTGTCTGGAGGCAATTCTTACGAAAGCCTGCACACAGGCAGCAAATCATAACCTGCACACAACAGACTGTTTTTGTATTATTTATACTGACAATAGATTGGAAAATTTTACGTACTGTAAAATAAGTGTGTAATGGACAATATAAAACCAGAGGCATTTCTGACCACAAAACTTGATTTTATTTCTGGTGTACTTACAAGATCAGTGATTTGGCCCTTGAAAGCAGAACAGAAGTCATTGATAGCCTTTCTGCAAATGTTTGATTCTATGCTTTGTCTGGAGAAGTCAGAGGGACAAAACACAACCCACTTAGTTCAGTAAAGGGGAAATCTCATCCCAAAACATTTCTTTAAGTAATGAATAAAACTCAGCATTAAGCAGCTAGGCAACTGCAGATCTTTCATATACTAGCAATAGCTTAATTTCTACCTTGAAAAATGTCAGCTGAGATGTGGCGTTGTTTGAAAAAATATCAAATCCCTGCAGACCACGTCAAGATCACATATGAAAAAACATTTGTATCACAGAAACTGAACAATCATCAAAATAACATTAGAATGTAACCATGCAATACTGCATTCCCCAAAGGACAGCCCACTAGCAAAAACACAGGTAAATCCTTTTTAAAACTTTGAATATTCAATCATAGGAAAGCAGAATATTTACCTGTAATTTGCTGCTATCTTCTCAACTTCAGCCAGAACAACATCCAGTTCTGTAATATCTCTAGGAGATCTCTCCAGCTCTTTGGGACACCAAACCTGTACAGAATGTGGGCTGTCCACTGAAACAACAGAATAAACATAAGTCTTGCATAACTCAGGTACATGTTCTAAAACAATAGAAAAATTATTGTTCCCACGATCAAAATAACCATCCAAAAGTTATGAATATTTTAATATTAAATCTGAGAAGAGTGATATATTATTTCATCTGTCTTCAGCTGAACAACTATGATAGATTTATCCAGAAGCCCTTTAAAATTGGGATGATCAATCATATACAACTTACTCTTAATCATTTCAAGCAAGTCCAGAAACACATTAAAAAACTAACTGATAAACTACACACTGACTGTAGACATAATTTTTTGTCTTGTAAAAGCTATTAGTCTGAGTTTGGGCAAAGAATCATGAGCTTTTATATTTGTATTTTATTTATATTTATTTTATTACATTTATTTCATATTTGTATACATTTTGCATTTATACCATATATGCTTCAAAAAACCCCTATATACAAAAAACCCCTATATACCCTTAGATTTTGCAACAGTATAATTAACTAATCCCACAAAAAGTTAAACCATGTTTCTTCACACACTCTCAAATGTCAGTCTAGTACTACAATATGATGGGTTCAAAGGAAGCAAGATGACACAAGGGGCATTCCAAGTTCTGCCCCAGCTGCTGCTCCAGGCTTCCAGACCAAGGAATGTACTGACACCTCTTACAGCTTCATATCCACGGCCCCAGCCTTCCCTCCAAAGGGAACCAGTCTGCCTTAGAGGGATAATGCACACATGTTTTACCCCTTCAGGAGCGGAATAGGCAAACCATGGGGATCAAATGTGGGTCTATGACAAAACTGAAACTAAAACCTTCCATTTCTTGAAGCAATATCACAGAATCACAGAACATGCTGAGTTGGAAGGGACCCACAAGGATCATTAAGCCCAACTCTCAGCCGTGCATAGGGCCACCCCCAAGAGTCACACCATGTGCCTGAGAGTACAATCCAATTGCTTCTTGAACTCTGTCAAGGCTTGGTGCTGTGACCACTTCCCTGGGGAGCGTATTCCAGTGCCCAACCACCCTCAGGGTGAAGAATCTTTTTCTAATATCCAACCTAAACCTCCTCTGACACAACTTCAGGCCATTCCCTCAGGTCCCATCACTGGTCACCACAGAGAAGAGATCAGTGCCTGCCCCTCCTCTTCCCCTCACAAGGAAGTTGTAGACTGCAATGAGGTCTCGCTTCAGTCTCCTCCAGGCTGAACAGACCAAGTGCCCTCAGCCACTCCTCACACGACTTCCCCTCAAGGCCCTTCACCATCTTCACTGCCCTCTTTTGGATGCTCTCTAATAGCTTAATACCTTTCCTATATTGTGGTGCCCAAAACTGCACACAATATTCAAGGTGAGGCCACCCCAGTGCAGAGCAGAGCAGGACAATCCCCTCCCTCGACTGTCTGGTGATGCTTTGCCTGATGCCCCCCTGGACATGGTTGGCCCTCCTGGCTGCCAGGGCACTGCTGACTCATATTCAACTTGCCATAGACCAGGAACCCCAGGTCCCTTTCCTTGGCACTGCTTTCCAGCCTCTTGTTCCCCAGTCTGTACAAACATCCGGGGTTGCCCCATCCCAAGTGCAGAATCTGGCACTTCCCCTTGTTGAACTTCATATGGTTGGGGATTGCCCAGTCCTCTAATTTGTCAAGGTCTCTCTGCAGGGCCTCCCTGCCTTTGAGGGAATCAACAGCTCCTCCCAGTTTTGTGTCATCTGCAAACTTGCTTAATATCCCTTCCAGTCCTACATCCAAGTCATTTACAAAGATGTTGAAGAGCACAGGGCCCAAGATGGAGCCCTGTGGAACCCCACTAGTCACCAGTCTGATGTTGCCCCATTTCATTATCACCCTCTGTGTTCTACTCGTGAGCCAATTGCTCACCCACTGCATGATGTGTTTATCCAGCTGTGTGCTGGACATTTTGTCCAGAAGGGTCCTGTGAGAGACTGTATTGAAAGCTTTACCGAAATCCAAAATATTACATCAACTGGCTTCCCTTGATCAGCTGGGTGGGTTACCCTGTCATAAAAGGAAATCAGGTTTGATAAGCAGGACTTCCTCTCATGAAGTCATGCTGGTTGTGACCAATGACTGCATTGTCTTTCAGGTATTTTTCAATACCTCCCAGAATAATCTTCTCCATAACTTTATCAGGCACTGAAGTGAGACTGACAGGTCTGTAATTTCCGGGGTCCTCCTTCTTGCCCTTCTTGAAAATCAGGACAACATTCACCAGCTTCCAGTCAGCTGGGACCTCTCTGGATTCCCAAGACCACTCAAAAATCATCAAGAGAGGTTTTGCAATGACATCAGCCAGCTCTTTGAGGATTCCTGGATGAATCCCATCAGGCCCCATAGATTTGTAGGGGTCCAGCTGGAGCAGCAGGTCCTGCACAATTTCAGGGAGTTGGTCATTCTCACAGTCATGGTCCTCAAGCTCAGGGCACTGAGACCCCCTTTGTCCATCATCTGAGTTGAAGACAGAGGCAAAGAATGCATTAAACACCTCTGCCTTGTCTCTGTCCCTGTTTGTGAGGTGACCATCCTCATCCTGTAACGGGCCGATGATATTTCTACACTGCCTATTGCCATTAATGTATTTGAAAAAACTTTTTATTGCCCCTCACATTTCTGGCAGCTTCAACTTCAGCTGAGCTTTGGCTGCACAAATTTTCTCCCTACAGTGGCAAGCAGCATCTCTGAGTTCTTCCTCTGTCTCCTGACCTTGCTTCCACTGGGCATACACCTTCCTATTTTGCCTTATCTCCAAGAGTTTGTTGCTAGATACCAGAAATTAAAAGCATGGAAAAACATTCATCTTGAATGAGGAAAAGCTATATGAGAGTTTTGAAAAGTCTACTTTACCAGAAGGGTCTGATGTGCTCTCCTCTGAAGGCTGCTTCTTTTTCGCCTGGAACTGAGTAGCATTCAGACCCTTCTGTGATACAAAAAGAAGATTAACTTCCAAAATAAACCATTATTATTAATTTAAAATGGCAATTAGGCAAAAAGCATTTCCTGACTGAAACATCTGTAACATTTACACAGGCTCGTTTCAGCAGAATCCCAGCAGAGTGACCACACTGCTGCAGGACAGCAGCTGCCTGACTGAACTGACCAACTGACACGTTGGCCACTGGCCGTGCAGCAGGACTAGGAACACGTTAAGGAGCACAAGGACCCTCAGTTCAGCACAGTCATTGCCCAGTGTTAACATTTCTCTGATCAACACTGCCTGCTCACCTTCCTTTTCACCCACATTCTGTCCCCATTCTTTCTCTACTTTGACTACTTTGTGACACCAACAGCGCTCTTACAAAAGTGCTGCATGCATCCAGTTTAACATTCTGTATTGAATTTCACAGCATCATTTTCAGCAATTCCAATAAATTTCAATATGTAAAAAACCTTTTATACAAACTACTGCACAGTTTCTTTTATCACAGGTCTACTTTTGAGCCTGCAGATGATTAACTTCCTCTGTATGTCTGGAAATGGGCCAAGAGCATTTTACACTAGTTGTGGAGTAAGTGTGGAAAAACACTCATTTAAAACTGGATGGCTTTTAATTCTAATACACATTCAAAATTAATTTTATCAGTATTCTTTTCTCTCATAAATTTGTTTCAATACTGAAAAGGCACAAAGGATTCATATTCCATCTGGTATGCCATTCTTCAAGCACATGTATTCTAGATACAAAGAAGATATTTGAAAGAAGGAAAGAACATATTCCCAAATGAAAAAGAGAATAGGCTACAGGATCCAGAACACCTGCCTATTATATTATATTCCATGCTGACATGATGACTGTAGCTTTAAGCATTTCACTTGGCTATCTCTCAGGAATACTTTGAGGATTGATTATTTTGGATACAATTAAATACTATGGCAGTACTAAGAAACAAATGGAAGGTCTTCCTCTCACCTCACCCTCTAATGCAGGCATGGCAAGAAGTAAGCTAAAATTAAATTGACTGATAATACTTAGGCAACTTTTTGTGTACCACAGTCTCCTTAAGAGGTCCATCTCCAGCACCAGCTGTTTTGAGTATCTGCTTATCACCATTAGATGTCTTTGATAGATGCATTTTTTTACTAGGAAAAGAAAAACATACACTGCTATACACTGAGAAAGAATGATCTACACAACAAAACAAAAATCAAAGTAACAATACTCTCACAACATACTCTCATACAAGCACTATTACTGTCTTGCTATTTAATTCAAATTAGAACTATTTCAGATTTAAACCAAATTTGATTAAACAAATGAGAAACATACAAAAATTTGAATTAAAATATTTTTAAAATAATTTTCTCTGTTACATATAATTTAACCGGTTTCTATCCATTTTTCAATTTTTCCATCTTTTAACTTTAGACACCAGCATTTAGAGAACTAATCAATACCTCACAGAGACATTTTAAAATCTTTTCAATATAAAACCAGCAGTAAGTATTGTACTGCTTACAAAAGGCAGACTCAGATTTACTCTACCATTTGTTTTCCACAATCTTCAACCTCACTCTTTTGGTTTCTGATCTTGGGAATTTTAAGTTAGAGCATCTGGTTAATAAGCAGCTAGGGAAACTCGACAAATTGAACATTTTTCCCACTTAAACTAAAAATCTAAAGATTAAATGCTGGCAATTCTATTTTTTTTTCACCAGACCTTCTTTCTGTATTTTGCCTTTGCAGTGCTGAAACACGACCAAGTGACTCATTTTGTGAGTGTTCCTCTGCATAAGCATCCACAGCAGTACTGTGCAAAGGGTGATCTGTAAAGAACAGAAAACAAATTGCATGAAAACTGCTCCCATCTCTTAAGGCAAGGAGCACTGCTTGCCATTAAGCATTTAGTTAAGGTATTTGTGGTTTGCTAGCTATTAAAAAGGAAGTTCTTGTTAAAAGTATTATTTGAGGATTAGAAAAAAATATGTAGTGAAAAGTTTTACGTACCCAGCCACCTGCTATTTCTTTACAAACTCAAAACAAAGGTGCAGGAAAGCTGGGCATGCACATATGGCACATAGCAGGCAAAATATTTTGTACAGTGTCTTTAAAGTCTCTCTTTGCTATGGCATACATAAACCTTCTACATATTTAAACAACTGCTTTCTAATTTTTGTTAATATAGACTTTAAGCTGCTTTATTGGATGCCATAAGAAGACAGTTACAGCTGCTACAGAATATTTGTAAATGTAGAATTCCTAAAGGTAGCTACCAAAATAGATTAGAACTCTGGGAACTTTGGGTTTTAGCATGCCCTCTGTAGTATAAATTTTTTTTTCAAGCACATTGCCACATAAATTTTGTCTTAGTTTACATTAGTGTCAGTGGGCATCCTTTTTATAGTCTAAATACGTAGCACAGAAGTGAGGGAAAGAAGAGCTTTTCATCTTTCCGTCTCGCCCTTATAACAACCCTCTTGTTAAATTATTTATACCTCATTTTCAATGCTCTTTCTAGTAGTCACATGTATATTTCCATGATTTTCTTAGAGTAATAACAATTACAGTTGAGAAATAACTCTTAGCATTTTCTCGACAACTTCAAATCACACAGTTTTTCAATTATTTATATATATATAACACAATAATAGAGGACTTCACTCAGGAGCACCTACTTCATCTAAATTGATTCTCTGCCTCTATACTGAGGCCTCATTACAGAAGTACAATACAAAGCATGGAAAGGGTTTTAATCCTTCACCAAAAATTGTATGGTTTTATGTTATTTTTTTAAATAAGATTTGAAACTGGCACAACAACATCTCTGTGAATGTCCAAATTTGCTGCCAAATTTGCTGCTCTTACAATAGCAAAAATTTCACTTCATAATTTCTGTAGCTTAATAGAGAATAACTTAAGATATTGAACTTAGGGTTTTAAATGTAAATTCTTACACATCTGCAATATTATAATGTGTGAAATTCTACCATTCAGATATAAAATTTGAATAGCCAGTATTTTTCTGTTAACTTTTACTTGTACATATTACAGCATTATTCTTGTTACTTCCTAAATTATAAAAATAACATAACAAACTCTCTGTCTCTCCTGTCCATTACTTTCTCTGGCAAAAAAACAATAACTTTTCCTAGGTAAGCATTGAAGTACTTTGCCCTTGTGGTTTGTTTGTGAAAATCATACATTAAATGACATTCAAGTTAATACTAACCAAAGGAATCATCCAGCTCCTCCAGGTGTTTTGTTTCTGCTACCTTCAATATCCTTGAGACATCAGGTTCCTCAAGCAGAAGTGATTTCCAGCGAAGATTGGAATTGGCTTTGTGTTCCTGGATGGGTATGAAATTAACAGCCAGTTTATCCAGCTTTTTGAATGCACAACAGATTAAATATGACAATGCATTTCAAGAACATTTGACTAGAAATACATTTAACCAGGACCATATTAACTACTGAGCCATGGCATAAAGTATTTGAAGCATGTTTTTTCCTCAGGCCATGGGTTTTCTCCTCTAAGAGAAGTGATAGTATAAAACATGTACATTGCACTATTTGATACTGTACTCTAGTGTGAGCTTTGTCTTATTTCATAAAAATAAGTATGCAAGCTTAGAAGTCTTATAACAGTCTAGTATCTGATTTCTATGATCTGTGTCCTTTTTCTTCTCAGGCATTAAAGTATTTCTTCTTTCATCTCTATAATACATAAATTTCCATCCTTGTTCAATTTAATTATTGTCATTTTAAAAAATTGAAAAGTTACAGTGTAACCTTATAAAAAGGGGAATTTTTAAATCAAGGATTACAAAGACACTTCTGTAAAACAGAAGGGTAAAGGGAATGACACTGGTTTATGAAACAGTTGTGTGTCATTCTTACCATGTGAGAGTGAATTTCTCACTGATTTGTGTGAGTGCATGGAGAGTGCATTATAAGCAGAAAACACCAACTTCCTGAGCTTTTTAATTTTACTGGTGCTTAGCAGTGCCCCACAAGTTCTGTTATGGTACAAAATACAGACACATCAACTCTTTCCTCTACAAATTGTTTTCTTTTCTTTTATGAGACTGTTTTTAAACTTTTGCCTGTTTGAAAGTCACTGGTCCATTTTGTACTACTCCCAGAAGGAAAAAAAGAAAACCCCCCGCACGCACCCCAAGCCTGCCCCAGCAGGGACTGCACAGCCGTTCCCAGTGCCTGTGAAAGCAAGCCCTGCATTAATTCCTGTGCATCCACCTCCAGAGACAATGCCCTGACTGCATGATAACACAACACAGAATCACAGAATATCCTGTGTTGGAAGGGACCTAAAAGGATCATTGAAATCTGACCCCTGACTCTGCACAGGACCATCCCCAAGAGTCACACCATGAGCTTCAGAGAATCATCCAAATGCTTCTTGAGCTCTGTCAGGCTTGGTGCTGTGACCACTTGCCTGGGGAGCCTGTTCCAGTGCCCAGCAGCCTTCTGGGTGAAGAATCTTTTTCTAATATCTGACCTAAACCTCCCTGATGCAATTTCAGGCCATTCCCTCGGGTCTTGCCACTGATCACCACAGAGAAGAGATCAGTGTCTGCCCCTCCTCTTCTCCTTGAGAGGAAGCTGAGACCACGATGTGGTCTTCCCTCAGTCTCCTCTTCTCCACCTGTACAAGCCAAGTAACCTCAGCTGCTCCTTTTATGGCTTCCCCTCTACACTCTTCACCATCTTCTCTACCCTCCTTTGGATGCTCTGAACAAAAACAAAACACCGGTTTGTTTGAATTCTGCCCAACCTAGCAAAACCTACCTCTAATTTATAGCTTGTATGAGTCTTCTTTATTTTCTTCTTCGAGGACATTTCGCTATTCAGTATATGCTGAGGATAAAGTCAGTGAAAAATTGCCCCCGACACAAATCTGCTTTCTCTGTGTCAGTACCTGGGAGAGAACGGGAAATCTTTGTTACTTCAATTTATTAAGCTCAGCTCACTCTAAAAGCAGTAAACCCCACTTCATTAGCCTAGACCGACGTATAAGTTCCATATAGCATGTTAGTTAGTAACGAGCGAGGCACATAAAAGAGATAAATGCGGACGATGCCGTTCAGGACCGTACCTTCGCTCCGCCGCTGCAGTTCCCCTCACGCAGGAGGTCCCAGCCCGCCCCGCCGAGCGCCCCAAGGCGGGCAGGGCAGACCCTCGTCCCGCCCTCCCGGCCCCGTCTCCCCGCGAACACCAGCGCCCCCCGGCCCGACCCCTCAGGGCACACTCCCGCTTTTCCCGCCGCCGTTCGAACCGGGCGCGCCGCCGCCGGGAGGGAAGGAAGGAAGGGAAGGCGCGGGGAGGAGCCGCCGCGCCGGAACAGGAACAGGAATAGGGACAGGGACAGCGCCGCCACAGCCCAGCTCCGACGCCGGTCGGGGCCGAGGAATGAAGGGGGCCCGCGCCGTTCATTCCGTGTTTAAAGAATACACACAACCATCACTCTGCTGAGTGTTTTTCCATTAATTAGTCTGACTAAAAAAAAAGACCAAACAACCACAAAACTCCACGTTTTCTTCTCCCCGCCTCCCTTCCCTGAACTTATGCTGTGCATCTGGAAAAACAAGTGGACGAGATAACTTCTGTAAAGATAACCTGAAATCTTGTGATAGTAATTTATAACACACAAAACCAGTACTTGCTATAATAACGTAAAAAAAAAAAAAAAAAAAAAAAAAAAAAAAAAAAAATAGGCTTTACCTTGAACACTTAATTCCATCTCTGGTATTTAAATTAATAATTTAATTGTTAATAAGGGATTTAGCAATTCATCAAAAGTCTCACTAGTTGAGAGGGGCCCTTTTGATGTTACATCTCTTCATCCACAGTCAAGGTGTTCTTCTAAAGATCATCTGCCCAGCTACCCATTGTTACCTAACCCAATAAGCTAAAACAGTGAAATAATGACTTTAGAATTAACTGGTGGCAAGGTCTCTTTAGACTTCTAAGTTGCTGGCTATAACATCCAGCCTCACTTAGCAGTCCCTGAGGCAAGGCTAATATAGCACAGCTTTGTTTCAGTAGTCATATGTGGCTCTTCCAGGAAGCTTTCTTTGATACAATGTGTTATGAACCTAAACCTTAGATCCAGCTGTCATCCATCTCTCAGCTATCTCCATTAGTGACACTTCAGTCTGTCTTTCCAAGCAGCATACACATACTTGGTTATTGAATAAGTAACAAAAATTTGGTTTACATTTTTTTCAGTACAGAAGAAATGTATAAAGGAACATACAGGATCACTTTGAGGAGGAAGTCTACAATGGCTAGGAACAGAAGTGTGCTTAGTATCTCACAATGACATCTGTATTCACATAGAGCTCTAAGCAGTGTCCTGGTAGTGATGCTTCATCTACCCTGGTGTGGTAACTCAGCCCATGAAATCTTTTATACCATACTCCTGACTGAAGCCAGATGCACAGTGTAAGGGCAGGAATAAGGAAAACTACTACCACCCACAAGCTACATAAGAGTTTAAGAAAACTCCAGCTTTCATTCAAGTTACTCATGATGATGGTAAGAACACAACTGTCAGAAACTATACTGAAAACAGACAAACAATACAAGATTTGTTGTTTAGGAATATACTGAAAGAGCAAGTTACATATAACAGCATCCCTTTCTTACAAATATTGGCCAAAAACTTCAACATAAGAAGTTACTTTCCAAAAGTAAAAGCGTAAACAACCAGCCTTTATACTGTATTTAGTATGTTTATAGCAGTGGAGTTTTACAGTGTGTCAGTTACCAAATTACACCTGGGCTTGTTAGTCAGCAGCATTTCTTTGATAAACAAACACGTCAAGGAGTTGAAATGCAGAAATATTTATTTTGGTTTCCTTCATTGGTTTTGAAAATTGTTTTGGTTTTATAAAACATAGAAATAGCCAACACTAAGCAAACATTTGAATTCCAATGTAACAAACTACTGCTCTAACAGTTGACTTGGATTTGTGTACCTTAATTGCACACATGTATGAAATTATGCTACAGAGTAGTGCATTACAATCACACACAAATCTTAGTGCAAACCTTGTTGTGCTTGTATTTTACATATATCCATGTTTTCAAAAAAACAGCAATGAATGCTAATGCAAAACCAATTCTATTAAGGATAGCAAAAGACTTATGCTGTAATAAGGCTTATTTCTGCTGATTTCTCAAATAAAAGGTAACTAGTTATTTTGCAATTTATCTGAGAATTAGGTTTTTATCCCTGAACAAATACCTATCCTGGGCCAACACACAGTTCTGTTGGCATATATAAATACTTCCAATTGCTGCAAAGCATCAGGCAAAAAACATTCTACCTGACCTATTTTGCTATTCAGTGAAGAATACTCAGTGGCTCATACATAAAGCATGGAAAACAGAGGTTATGTCAGAAGCTCTTCCACTTAGAGGACCTGGCACATTTTTTAAAAATGCATTTTAAATACAAGGTCATTACAGAGAAACAAGTGGCTAGAACAGGTGCAATGTTTACCCTGACTGTTAGCATAGCCCAGCCTCTGAATGGTTTGGTTTTTAAGTCTCTAGTGTTCTTGCCAGAGTTAGGATCAGCTCATTTGCAGGGCTGGCACCATGTAGCGAGGCTACACTTGCTGATTTAACCACATCCACACTTCCTGTGCAGAACCACATCTGTAGACTTACTCTGACGAACTTCTATTCATCAGTCTCCTTTGAGTGGAGTGCTGACTTCTACCTTATGAAAGTACATCTCAGAACTGGATGCAGATATAGAAGGGAGATACAACTCAGATGCCTTGCCCCAGTTAATATTAGGACTAATGAAAGATGTGATACCAGCCATACAACTGTAAGGGCTTGGGGTTTTTTGGTGGTTGGGTGGTGGGGTTTTTTTGAACAGACTAAGTCATTTTTCTGAAGATGCAAGATACTTAGAGGCATTTTCATAGCTGCCAAATCCTTTGTGGAATTGACAACTGCAAAACACACTGCAGACAGCAAACATGCTGGCAATAAAACCTTAGCTCCTTGGTGAAGGCAAGTCCCATTTTTGGCCAAGGAAATATTAAATAACTTACATTAGAGTTACCATTTATAGTTAAGGCTCTTTTTGGAAATTGTAGGTCACCATAAAAACAGTATGCAACACAACTTGACAGTAAGGCAGTGTTCCATTTCTTCAATGTTCCTATGGCAAGTACCCATTTTTGTACAAGTTAATGATTGCACAGTTTCCTTCCCTATGTTTGCTGTAGTCAAAATACAGATATGAAGACCAACAGTAGACATCATATGTGTGCCATTTTCCTCATTCCATTTGCAGTTACATTTTGGCATTAGCATAGAGTTCATCTATCTGTGACTGGAAGTATTTTCGCAGTTCTGGTCTCTTCGCCTTCAGTGTTGGTGTCAACAGGCCATTCTCAATAGAAAACATTTCACTGTGCAGGACAATGTCTTTCACCTGGAAAATAAGAAGTTACTAGCCAAGCTGCATTCCTTGAAATAGGAGAGGCTTTTAAAAACTTGCCCAGATATCATAAAGCCCATCACTTCAAAAGTTTTCCAGATGCAAATAAAAAGCAGTTTCTGGAGAATCAGATTATATTGGTATTGAGAAGTTTAAAGAATTAGGTGTTTGGTTCTCACAAGTGTCTTACCTGTTCAAATGACTTCAAACCAGATTCTTTCCCGACTCTCACCATGTCTTCCAGAATGTATTTTTTGACATCCTGTGGATACAGGAATATGTTGTATAGCTTCATGCTTGTATAAGCATCAACTTGAAGAAGTTTATGCAGAACAACTGTTTAGTTAGATATGTCTCACCTTGTTTTTGCATAGCTCTTGATAGGAGCCTTCAATTCCCTTTTTCTTGGCCCATTTGTGAAGAGAATCAGGATCAGGTACCACAATAGCTACTAAGAAGGCCTAAAAAGGAATTTTTTTCAAGTTTTTTTTTTCTTTACACCAACTCTTTAGTTACTACACATTTCTTACTAGTCAGGTTTTGGAGTGAGTTTCTTGATCCTGCTGTACAGTCAGCAGCTTTCTGGTACCTGAACACGGGACTGCAGTTCAGAAGCTTGCACTTGAGAGAATTACTCTTAAAGACCCACACTTCTATTTACACTTGAAAGAACCTGGGTTTTTTTGTATTTTTTTCCCCCCTGCATACTCTGAGCAAATTTATACACAGTCATTAATACCCAATTAAATTAGTTCAGCTCCCCTACCTGGTCTGAAACTAAATACAGAAACATGCTATGTAACTGCTGAAATCCATTCAGAACCAAAATGTATAATGATAAAAATTTAAGATAAAAATTTAAGATTTCAGTCCCAAAGCTTGGGGGGGGGGAGGAAGAAAAACTTTTCTGCCATCTCCTTTTGTAGTAATTTTTTAAATTACCTGAAAAATGCTTACCTGCAAGCTCTCTCCATGAACAAATACCTGTGCAAGTGCTTCACATCTCAGATACACATTCTCTATTTTCTCTGGTGCTATGTACTCTCCCTGGGCTAGTTTAAATATGTGTTTTTTCCGGTCAATGATTTTCAACGTACCATTCTGTTGACAGAAATAACTTTCACTCAGAAGAGGCACTTCAAGTGGAAAACCAATCTATACAGCTTAAGCATGCTCAGTAAAACTGCGCTAGAGCCAGAATACTGTCAAACTAATGGTAGAAGGGAACAGGTTTGTCATGGTTTGAATCTTGTTTTCCCCCAGAGGCTAGAAAAGTGGTAGACCCCAAGGGGTGGAAACCCCTGGAAGTTTTGAAGTTCTGTCCAATGGGCGCTCCTGCAAAAATGTCAACATCCCACAATCTCACCGGAAAAGAGGAGTTGGAGTTTGGTTGTTGCAGGAGAGGTGGCCATGTTGTAGAGCCACGAGGAAGGGGCTCTGAGCCCCTTGGGCCCTCTGGGCCCTCCCAGCCCCTGGCTGGGGGCTGCAGGGACCTGGAACAGCATAAAGCTGGGCTAGGTGCCTGTAGTTATGCCGGGAGATGTTTTTCTCCATGGGCACAGAGCAGCAACTGGCACTGACCAGAGAAACGGTGGGAGAGAGCCAGGAGATAAGAACCTGAACTGGAGGAGCAGCAGAAGCAACATGCAACACTGCAGAGAGGACTCCTGGAAGGAGAGCC